AAGCCCTTCGTAAGGCCTCAAGGCATTTGATCTGACATCGAAGGGGTCAGTTGACCCCTTTGCGACCCCTTGCAGCCGTAGGCCGGCCAGGAGATTGGATCTGCCCCGGCTGCCAGGGCCTGGTTTTCGCCAGCAAGGACCGCTCCGAAGCTCGAAGCTTCGGAAAATGCAACACACCCGACCTGGGAGAGGCTTGAAATGAAGTCGCGGGCTGCACTGCCAGAGGTGCAGCCTCGTATGCTGCGGGCTTGGCTTTTGGTAGTTCAGGGGACACGAGCTTGAACCCCTCCTACTCGCTCATGTTTGGTCATCGCAAAAGGCTTGCTGTTTGCTTCCGGGTTGTTTGGACAAGTGAGCAGCACAACTCATCCGGGAAAGCAGCGGAAAGCAGAAAGCCAGCTGCCTCGCTGCGCCTGTGGTGAGAGTTACGCCCGGGCCAGTGGGCAGGGTGCATGTGACAGAAAGGCTAACATGTTTCTTCTTGTAGACCATAGACAGTGCCTTTCGCAGATGAGCTACCACTAAACGGGTTCGTATAAGGGCGTTGGCGTGGGTTTAGGGCAAGCATCGCAAAAAGGAAGGATAGCTTTTCAATCGAAGGATCCTTCTACGACCAAGACCCTCAACAACAAAGGTGTCTTTGGAACGTAGGATTCCAAAGATCTTCCAGTTTAATTAGCACATAAGGCGTTTTTGGCAGCGGCTCAGACGCGACTGAACATTGAACAACACAGGCAGGCACGAGCACATTGTATGTTTCATGATGACCTCAGCAACCAAAAGCTCCTCTCTTGTTCTGATGAGTTGCGCGAATGTTGTTATTGTATGACTGAGAATGGTGCGGGGTGAGTTCGGGTCCTTGTTTGCAAGAGCAAGAGGAAAAAGACACAAGTAGGCGCAACGCACGCAAACAAACACACAAACAAGCAAGCAAGCAAGCAAGCAAACAGACAAACAGACAAAAAACACACACACAAACAAACAAACAAGCAAGCAAGCAAGCAAGCAAGCGAGCAAGCAAACAAACAAACAAACAAACAACACGCAAACACACAAACGCACAAACACACATCCAAACATCCAACCAAACAATCAAATAAGCAAAAAGCAACAAACAAGCAACAAAGCAAGCAAGCAAGCAAGCAAGCAAGCAAGCAAGCAATCAATCGAGCAAGCAAGCAAACATAACAACCAAGCAATACTAACGAATCAAACAACACCAACCAGCCAACCAAGCAACCAAACAACAACCAACCCACCAACCCACCAACCCAGCAGCCAGCCAGCCAGCCAGCCAGCCAGCCAGCCAACCAACCAACCAACCAACAACCGACCGACCGACCGACCCACCCACCAACCAACCCACCAACCAACGAACCATCCAACCAACGAACCCCAACCAACCGACCAACCAACCAACGAACCATCCAACCAACGAACTCCAACCAACCGACCAACCAACCAACGAGCCATCCAACAAGCAACCAAACAAACACACAACCAACGAAGCAAACCAACAAAACGCAACGCATCGCAACGCATCACAACACAACGTAACACCGCACCGCACCACACAACACACACACACAGCTCAAACAACACACACACACAGAGAAACCACACACAGAACGCACGCACAACGCAGCACAAATCACACAACACAGAGCCGCATGCGTAACATGTTATATTTCTTTGCACGTATCATTGCGTCGCGTCCGAGATGCGGTGCCCAGAATTCGAGATAAACGACGGAACGACGCCGTGCCCAGGACACCTGCCGAAAATGCGGCACCAGTCGGCCAACAGGGACTTCCAGCTCCGCTGCTACAGGGATTCCCAGCTCCGCTGCTACTGGGGCTTCTAGCTCCGCTGCTGTAGGCCAGCTCAAGCAAGGTCCTAGAAGTTCTTAGAGGGAGGGGGGGGTTTCGGAGGAAGGGTTTGTTTGGGACTTTCCAGAGTTGTTTTGCGTGGCTTAGCTGTACCGTTCTGAGAGGGTGGCCTTTTGAGATTTGCAAAAAGGAGGGGTTCTTTCCGTATAGCCATTCCAAGTTGTGAGCCTATGCCTTCGATGCTATTTATACAGCTTTGCACCCGCCAGAGCGGCTTAGTCCGATACCACATGTTTGTACAAAGTTGTGTTTTGCTCTGTGTTTTGATTTGTTTGTGTATACCGATCCTACACATGTGGGTTTAACAACTTGTCCATGTGCACCTGCCCTCATGAATCTCAAATCTGTAGGGGCTGGGAGCAAGAGGATGTGCTATTCTTGACTGCTATTGGGTTGGATCTTTAGACTTTAACTTTTTGGGAAATAAAGGTGTTATCCAAAAAACTGTTTGCAGGGGGGTCGTTGCAGCAACCAAGTATTTGGCTTGCATGGGAGTACAAAGCAGAGGAAGCCGCTGGCCGCCAGGAGATTGGACCTGCCCTGGCTGCAAGGGCCTGGTCTTTGCCAGCAAGGCGCAGCGTGAACAACACAACAAAACATGTTTTTGGTTGGCGTGCAGCCAATGGCCAATGGCCCCAATGCTTGTTGTGTGTGTGTGTGTGTGTGTGTGTGTGTGTGTGTGTGTGTGTGTGTGTGTGTGTGTGTGTGTGTGTGTGTGTGTGTGGGGGGGAAATAGTATGAATGTGTTGTTTGTTTGGAATGTAAGTGTCATCCCTGGCGTGTCAAATATGGTGACGCATCTAGCAACCTATGGAAGGAGGGTGCCTACCTTCCTTTCTCATACCTTCACCCGAAATGTGGATAGCATCGACATATCACATGCGGGGCGCTTAACCCTATGGTTTTGCCAGTTTCGGGTGGGGATGAGATGCGTGTGGGATGTTGTTCTGCACCAGGACAGCGTAGCTATTGGAGTTGGTCATCCAGTCAGTTGTGAAGCCAAGCTTTGTCTGCCTTGAGCTCGCGGGCTAGTCCTCTTGATGTTTCTTTGTCGAACCACGCAACAACTGCCAACGTGTGTGTATTGCATATATACATGTATACACATATGTGTACATATATATATATATATATATGTAAACACAGAATATACATATATATATATATATACATATGTAATTCTGTGTACACATGGTCTCTCTCAACATTGGAGGCCGTTTTGAAGGGTTGGTGTTCTTTTGGTGTTCCTTTCACGCCTTCCAAACGTAGCGCATGGCGCGCCCAGCAACATGGAACACGCAACCCTTGAAAATTCTGATGCTTGCCTCCCAGGCCAATTGCTGGAAGTGCGGCACGGCCAAGCCAACACACCCGTGTGCTTCAGCAGTCCCGCCTGCTTCAGGCCGACAGTGACTGGCAGCGAGGTTTCTGTGAGCCCGTGGCCAGGTTTTTGCTCTTGCCTTTGGAGGAACCTTCTCTGCGGATTCTAAAATCAAATAATATCAGAATACTAGCTGCAGCCCTCCACATGGTTTGTGGTCTGGGATTTCCATTTTAAGCCTCGCCAAAAGTTTTGAGACACGAGCTTTTGCACATGCAGAGTCCTTTTTCGACCATGCAGCGCGACTGGTCACAACTGGTTTTGAGTCACATCCGCGTGCTGAGTCAGAGTTCCGCTCGACCCTTTGGTTTCCCGCGGCCCATGTGACAAGTCGCGGTCTCCATTTTGGTGCAAGATAATCCCGAAGTATTTTGGTCGGTTGGTTTGCCGGCTGGCTTGTGCTTTGCTCCCGCATGCATGATGCAGCGGAAATTCCAGATTCGTGAAAACTGGGGCGAGGGCTATCCATCTGGAAGGATGGACAGTGACCCGCGCCTTGCTGGATTTGGAGTTATTGGAGCTTTTCTCGGCGAGGGTTGCCCTCAACCTTTAATGGTTCTGTTTCAATAGCCCCCCCACTTCCCGGAACAGTGCCAACCATCCTTAATGGAAAAATTGAGGTCTGGGTTCGACTTCGACTTGCCAACTCTAAATTTGGTATTGCTAAGGCTTTGACCTTTGAGCTGGGAAGAGCTCGGGATGAACCACCCTTTGTCAAAGGCTAAGGTGCTGATCTGGGGAAAGAAGAAAAGGAGGAATAACATAGATAACAAGGATAACATAAACAAGCCGGACATTACAGCGAACCACGAAACTGTCAGATTTAACAGAATCCGAGATTCTTGTGCGCAACCCCCTTTCTGTGACTGTTTGGCCTTGCATGTTTTCAAATGTAGACTCTGATGTTATCTTAAGTTTGATGGTTTGGGGACCACATGCCAACATGATTTCCCTAGATCTGCTCAGGATGAAGCGCCCTTATGCGCCCTTAAAGCTGAAAGGCCAAGGTTTTGATCTGGGAGTTTCCCCAGCCCCCCCCCCCCCCGCCCAAAAAGAAGGGGGCCATGAAAGCAAACCACCAAACTTGCGTGGGGTGGTTGGAAGATGTGCGCTACGAAGAACGGTGCATCCCAAAGGCCCCAAGAGAAGATCCCTCTAAGGGCGCGTTTGTTGAGTTCCAAACCACTCTTCAGCAGCATGTGCGTGTGTGTGTGAGTGAGTGTGTGTGTGTGTGTTTGTGTTTCTGTGTGTGCGTTTCCCGAAAAGGCAGTCAAAAGGCCGGCCCTTGACGAATGACAGCAGGCGATTGGACCTGTGCCTGTGGCGATTTGGTCTTCGGCAGCCGAGGCGCGCCCGTGGCACTACCCCTGCTTCCCCTGCAATGAGGGGCTTGTTGTCACTTCGTGGTCCTCGGTTGCAGTTGTTTGTTTTGTTTTGTCGGATCATATGGCATACCTTCCCACAAGGTACTCACGCTGTTGCCGGCGAAGTTCTTTGTGTCTCCTCTTGCGGCCCAAGCAGAAGGTATGCGCAAAATGTTGGATTTATCTGTTCATTTCCTTGGAGGTCTGATACAAGCCCGCTTGCTGTTCAACTACCTAATATGTGTTTCTTGGTGCTGTGTTAGCAAACTGCCTGACACCAAGTAGCAAGGTGACGCCTTCAAGAGCCGGTCTGTTGCGGATTGCTAATATATATATATATATATATGCATATATGTAGACACTATACACATACCACATATACATATATTGCATGTATATACATATATATATATATATATATGTATATATATAGAGAGTTATATAATACACACTGTGTATATTTGTATAATTTGTATAATTTGTATAATTTGTATAATAGATACAACAATAGCCAGTCCCAGGTCAGGGATCCAAGTAGTTCCCAAGCTATTCGGACTTGGCAGGGTTCTCCTAAAGGGACATCCCAGGTCAGCCCCTCCGCCTGATTTTGTCAGAACCGAAGGCTCCTGCCGCAGATGCGGCGTGGCCAAGCCTTCGGCGCTGGCGTCGGCGGCTGCGGCGCCTTCGGGGGGCCGGCCCGGAGATTGGACGTGCACCTGCGGGGAGTTGGTGTCCGGCGCCCAGACGGCGAGAACTCCGGGCGTTGGGGTCAAGGGCCCTGAGACCCTGAGAAACTCTGCCAAATGTGGGTTTGTTTTGTGCAACTATGAGGGCAGTTGTCAATCCCAGAGGACGCCATTTCAAGGAAGGCAAGGGGTTTTCGGGGTATGAATGCTTATACACACAGCCAATGTAGGCTGTTGAAGAAGCACATACTATTTTATGTAAGTGGTATCAAACTCCCATGCTGAAAAAGTTAACCCAGAAGCCAAGACTTTCGCCACTCTTAGCATCTGCTCGGTTCGAGGTTCGCCAGAAACAGCCACTGCCATCGCTGCGGCGCTTCCAAGCGCGTGGAGCTCTCGAAGACGGTGGACTTCCCGGACGACTGGAAGTGCCCGAAATGCGGCGAGCTCAGTTCCCCAAAAATTGCGCCCCCTCTGGTGTTTTTTTGGGGGGATTTTTTTGGGGGTCCCCATGGTTTTTCCACGAACCATGCAAAAATAATAGTGCCTCTTTTTTTCTGCGGGGCTCCTAATTCCAGCCAAGAGTTGTGCACAGTGGGAGGGCACGGAAGATTGGTGCCTGTTGCAGGGGGCCAGATGTGAGGTGCTGTCTTGGTGGGATGGAGGGTACCGGATTTCGTTGAAAGAACCAAGAAACTGCGGCGCTATCCCCCCATGGGGCAAGGGAAGAGATTCGGAAGTTTCTGTGACCCGTAAACCTGTGAATTTGTTAGGGGTAGCGATCCTATGGAAGGCCCAGGCAAACAGGGGGCATGGAAAGGGAGTGGTGGCCTGTCTTTCTTGCCGGATCGCTGGGCCTCACCAAGAGAATTGGGGTGGTCAAAATTGGGGGGCCCTCCTTTGACCCGCTTGACAATCTGCATGATGATGTGTCACAAGGAGTTGGACAAGTTGGTTCATGTAAAGTAAAGGGGAGGGGGCCCCTTTTGGAACCCAACTGAGGTCGTTTTTTGTAGTCTAAGGCTGTCTCGAAGAGGGCCAGCTTATTGAAACAACGGATATGAAGCCAGCAGCGAGTACCTTCCAGGATTACTTGCCATAGGTGTCCAACACGAGTCGACCTGTCGGCATGGGCCCTTTCAATGGTCACAGCCCTGCTTAGGTCTTTGCAAATAGGCAGACCACAGGTTTCCTTCAACGGGTTGGCAGTATGGTTGTGGACAGTTGTGACTGTTTGTTACACCAGAGGAATCGCTTTCAAGCCTCAAATTTGTTGGCGGGTACCATAGCAACAGCCCTAGGGGTTGCAAGAATGACGGCAAGCCTTGCACTGTCGCTTCTAGCTTCTAGCTTCTAGCGGCAAGTGGATATTGATATCACCCCGTGGATCGGTTCTCAACCGTGAAGCCAGGCAAAAGGCCAGGAACAGAAGGATGTGCTTCCTCAAGGCTAGACACTCTTGGACACTGTCCTGGTGCTTGGTTTTGACACAGCCTTGTGCTTTTCAGGTAGCATAGAATCCAGGATACTCAATCTGATCTCTGGACCTGTTGGGCAAATTGGAGGCAACGATGTGACATGGAATAGCGTGGGGCCAGGGACCAGGGACATTCCTTATAGATAGAACACGTATTTGTGTCGACGGCACCACACAAATATCACATGACTCCTATGGAAGTACATTGCAAGCCCACATTGCAAGCCGAGCTTCAAGTTGTGTTTGCTATGCTCTATGCCAGTAGCTCTTGCCTCAGCATAATAAGATATACACCAACTCCGATTTTAGTTAAACCCGTTTTCTGAGGCCAGGACCACCAGTTTGCGCGCAACGCGCCTCGCTTGGGCTGTGCGACCGGGTAGGGTTTCAGCAGGGCCTAGGTGGCTCTGGGCGTTTTCAACTTTCGGGGATGAATGATTCAGGGTTTCCTCCGTGTCCTGCAAAAGTGGCGATCGTTTCAAGGGAAGCAACCAGAAACATTGCAGCTGTTAAAGGGAAAATGGGTCGTCATGGGCCTTAAACAAGGCCCCCCCCACCCAAATCGCGACTGGGGCAATGTCTTGTGCCTGGGCCCTTAGGCCAAGGGATGCAGGGCACTTGTCTAAAATCAACTCCATGTCTCAAAGTCTTGTGTCGAGAGGGAAGGGGTCCATGGACTGAAGAGCTGGACTGGGAGAGTCAGACAGGCGAACAGTTCATATCACCCCTCAAAACCAAAATGTTAAATGTCCCCCCCTTGGGACTTGGAAGGGTTCGGTCTGTCCAAAAGGAAAGATAGATGATTTTCACCACACAACAACAGCAAACAAACGCAATCAAATCCAACGAAAGACTGAGGTTTTGGCCTTCATACTTTTTGGCGCGACCATTTTAGTGGTAGACAAACAGCTCAGACTTGTCCAATCCACTCAGGAAGTGAGCGGAAAACGGCCCCTTCCAACAAAACGCACCAACACCGGTCAGGTGTTTATTCTCCTCTTTGACATGTGGCTCACAACCCTTCCGGACAAAATGGTCCAATGAATTAGTCCCCCGTCGGAAGTAAACAAAAGGTTTCGACTTGTCCAATCCACCCAGGAAGTGAGCTGAAAAGGCCCCCTCCAGAAACAAAAGGACCAAAAACACAGTGCCACTTTTCCGATGTTGGTAACAAAAGCTAAAACTTGGTCCAAGCTCATCAGGTGAGTCACATAACAAAATCGGCCAAGCTCAGGAGGTGAGATTTGCGCGAGAAAACAAGAACAAAACCAACAAAAACACACACACAAACACAAACACAAACACAAACACAAACACAAACACAAACACACAGACACAGACAGACACAGACAGACACAGACAGACACAGACAGACAGACACAGACACAGACACAGACACAGACACAGACACAGACACAGACACAGACACAGACACAGACACAGACACAGACACAGACACAGACACAGACACAGACACAGACACAGACACAGACACAGACACAGACACAGACACAGACACAGACACAGACACAGACACAGACACAGACACAGACACAGACACAGACACAGACACAGACACAGACACAGACACAGACACAGACACACAGACACAGACACAGACACAGACACAGACACAGACACAGACACAGACACAGACACAGACACAGACACAGACACAGACACAGACACAGACACAAACACAGACGCACACACACACACAAACACACACAAACACAAGCACACACACACAAACACACACACACACACAAAAAAAACACACACACAAACACAAACACACACACACACACAAAAACACACACAAAAACACACACAAACACACACACAAACACACACACACAAACACACACAAACACACACACACACAAACACACACAAACACACACACACACAAACACACACACAAACACACACACACAAACACACACGCACACACAAACACACACACACAAACACAAACACACACAAACACACACACACAAACACACACAAAAACACACACAAAAACACACACACAAACACAAATATACACACACACACACAAAACACACACAAACACAAACACACACACACACAAACACACACACACAAACACACACACACAAACACACACAAGCACACACACAAACACA